AAGAAAGCCTCATAGGTGTCATGGAGATTATTAGTGTTCCTGTGGACTGATAATTACCCTGCGGAACCTGATAATGAATCCGTTTGTTGCAAAACTACTCCAGCAACTGATTAAATAAGTCTAATCTATATTTTACTACTAATTAGCTTTTCTTCTTTGTATGATGATGGAAAAAATTGAGTATAGAAACGGACAAAACCTTCACAAAGAGAGCATGACTGGAAGGGAAAAAAAGAGGGAGGAGAAATTATCCTTCCAATGTTATGAGACATTTATACGGTTGTATTTTTTTTTAACTCCATTTGACGATTTGCACATCCTGATAAGAAATATCAATTTATTGAAGTCTTCCTGAGACAATGGGGGGGAGGGGGGGGAGGAAAATTACTTACCAGATTTGATCAGACACAGAAACACTGCATATATATTGTAAATGTAAAACTATGTAACATCACCACCACAACCCCCCCCCCAACCAACAAAGAACACGGGTTTTCTTGGAAACTGAAATTTATCTAACAACAGTAAATTCATTCCCAGAGAGAAAGTAGGATGGTGACAACCAGGAAACACACACAGAAGTATACGGAGCAATTAGCAGACACAGGAGGTTCGTACATGCATCCTTCCGTCTAGCAAAGACATTGTTTTTCCTTCTGTTATAAGGCAATATATTTGGCTTGTGGAACTTGGAATTTTTGAAAGGTTTATGCTAGCTCATTGTAAAACAACACTGAAGCTGTACTTTGCATTCCCCTAAAGGAAATGAAGCGAAAGGATTTGCACATGTATTATGAGACAGAACTTCAAACAATGACTTTCAATGCTGTCTTATCGTGGGCTTTGGTGTCTTTTCTGCAAGATAATAATTTTTGCAATGATTATTAGAGGGCTCAAAACTCGGCGGATTTGTTTCTTTTCCCTCCTGGTCTGGGAACTTTTAAAGCCGTTTACTCCATCGCTGTCACGGGCACTGAATCAGACTCAACAGGTAGCACTTCACAAGCAAATACTGCCCAGGGAAGCAATACATAATCTAAGGTGTGGATTACGGGCTCTTAATTTAGCTCTGCGTCTGGGCTTCAGCAGTGGTGAGGCAGTTTAGCCCTCACTTACCACTCACCTACCATAGGATTAAGCATTTAGAATAGCTCGTGTGCTATAAAAACATCCAAAGTTTTAGTCCAAACTATGAGTTTCTGCCTCCTCTACAAAGTTGCAAAAGCACCTCACAAGCATTTGGTATCAGAGACACTGATGTTCATATGATCTTAGCTGTGTTCCTAGACCTAATAAGGCCGTCACAGCAATTAATTACAGTAGCTCGTTGGTGGCAGGGCAAAAGTGCCGCTCACAAAACCAGGCAACCCCCAATGAAGAACGTCGCAGCTTGCGGCAAAGCTCAGTCAGTAACAGGCAGCCCCCGGCTGACCGAGAAGGCACTATCGCATTTCATTCCATACGCACACCCAGAGAGGACCATCAGATAACTTCTGGCTCTGCTTGGAAGATCTGCAGCTTTGGGGGAATTTACGCTGTCTGTGCAAATGGCAGAAAGGCAAAACAGGGTCTTACAGGTGTATAAATAGTAATTATACAGCACCCTGCCCAGCCTGGAGCAGATTTAATAATATTATTAATACTGCCATGAGTCAGACCAACTCTCAGAAGGCATAGTGTAAACCTCGATATTGTTCTTCAGGAAAATAAATTGCTTCTCTGGTAACAAAGGGATCCATTAATTTTGCTGGCCTCTTCCATCTCTGCCAGCCAAAGACCATAAACAAAGCACACGCTGCATGGATTCTTCATTGCCAATGCATCCAACTGCTTTAGAGCATCTAAGGGAACGAAGCTTGAAAAGGAAATACAATTTTTACCTCAGTAAATTCATGGATGGAGGTCAACTAAAGATAAGTAATTGTGCAAGACTGAATAAAAATATTATTCTCACCAGTTACATTAAATTCTTTACTTTAGGGGTCAGCTGAGTAGGTGTCTTGCCCTGTAAAGCAGGACTTCTTTTTCAAGCTACTGCTTCTGAATAATTCATATTTCAACACACTTTGTTCTAGATTCATTAATATTCTTTCTCATGTTCATTGAAAAATTAAAAAGCAAATTTAAAAATGACAACGTTGGACTAAAAATAATCCTTTAGCCTATATAGTGGCTACGATTAAAAAAACTTTAGCAAACAGCATTCTGTTCTATTTGCTACACCCACCGGAAGATTCAACACCTATAGTGTAGTAAAGATTATCTTTTAAGAAAATAACTGGTGCAAGAAACTTCACATAAATCATTCTGAGGGCTATATTGGTAATTACCATCTTCTAAATAACCTGACATCATAGTTACAGTCTTACAGCTTTACGGACTCAGATGGCTCTTGCCTACGCGGTGCAACACAACAGTTTCACATCATGCAGAAATCTCCAACCTATCTCTGAACGAGGTCTTCTGCCCAGGCTGCTTTGCCAGATCAGAGCATCACATGAGTCCACTGTCAGCCCCTGGCTAGTCCAGACAGCTCAGGCTTCTCTGCATTTTATTATAACTGCTGTTTGCAGGACACATGTAATACACATGTTTACTAGCTGAACCTGTTTAGGTACCATCTAAATTCTAATTCATTTAGAAGATATGGAAGTCACGCAAATATCTGAAGTACCCAAGGTAAAACTGAGAGTTCAAACATCCTTCTTCCACTTACGTTTATCAAAACAGCTGCAGTGCTACAAATAGACAAACAGCAAATAGCTGGTAGTTTATCAACAGAACCAGTTTCTCATTTCATGGGTCAGATTTCTCAAGTTGCAGTTTGACGCAAAAAAGCCAAAAATCAAAGAAAAAAAGCTGACACCTGAACAGATCGTAGCTTATGAAGTTGAATGAATACATTTTGCAACTCCGCACCTAAGCACTAGTCAGATTTTTCCTAGCCTAGTACACCCTCCTTGGCAGACACCTCGTCTTTCAGCACAGTGTATGTGCCTGACCAAGGGCAGGAATGAAGACAGGGCTGGATTCCTTCCATCTGTGAGAGCTGTATCCGGAAAATCATATGACTTGTGTTCTACCTTAAAATAACCAGATAAAAACCAAGGTAATGACCAAACACCAGCTATTCGTAATTTTTGCCTCGCCTGCCTCTGTACTGGGAACTCTACTAGACCTGTGCAGATAAAATGGGGTCATGCTCTGTCATCCTTCACAGTTTGGGTGCCCCAGCAAGCCTGATGAGGCCACGTACTCAGCTGGGAAATAACTTGTGGCAACCCAGTTAACTTAGAATGACACTGAGCCCAAGCCAAATTAACGTAAAATTTAATACAAAAAGGTTTATTCACAAAGTCCAAAACAGACAACACAGTTACAAAGGGTTATCAAATCCCAAGGTGTAGAAGTGAAAAAGAGAAATGCGTAAATCAGTATTGTAAGGTTAAATCTGGAACGTCTCTCCCCTTCCCTTTCCCAACTGATTTGCTGCTGTCAAAAGCTGAGTATCTCAAGGCTCCAGTCTTGCTACACCTTACACATCAGGCTGCAGCTGGTAGGAAGAGCTTCTTCGGTAGAGAGAAACACCGCCTCCTTTAGAGGTGCATGTGCCCTGTACGACCCAGTCTTCCTCCAAGAAGTTTGCCAAGGGGTGCAGACTGACTTAGACCACCTTCCTGAAACTTGTTCTAGTCCTCCCTTATCCAGAAGGCACACTAACAGCACATCTTGATTACAAAAAGCCTTATGTCACCTCCTTAAGACTGTACTGGTTATTAAACCAGAGCCTGTACCATTAACCTGTGCAGAAGCAGCGGATCAACTGCTGTATATTAGACCCAATGTCAGCTGTTCCTAAAACGGAAAAAAACAACTGCGAGAGATTTTGAAATTCGCCAAGAGTATCATCTGAATTAACCAAGCAGGGTGGTGGCAGTGCTTGGTGACCCTGCTCAGGCATATTTGCAGTGGGACCCTGAGGCCAGACAAAGCAGGAAACCATAATATGTGGCTTGCAACAGACTACGAGGCACAGGACAGCAAGATGAATAAGGCACAGGATAGCAAAAACCTCCACACTTACAGCCTCACTTCCCCCATCTCCTGGTCAGAGGAAGCAGGACAGAGAGCATGTCCTGCAATGAACAAGGGAAGTCATGATCTTAGTGTCAATACTCAACTTTATCTTAATGTCAACGTCAATCGGGTGGGGTAATACCTAGTGATTCAATTGGCTATTCCTTTTTATATTCCTAAACACATGAATCAAAGGTCATGTATCAATATAAATTACAAAATTCATTTTCCTGTTTCACCCACCACAGAGATGCACGTCTCCATTATACCAAGCAGCAGTTCTCCGGTAAGGAAGGGGAGTTGGCACCGCCTTGCATCAAGAAATGATGTGAGTGATGCTCTCACCTCTTCCTTTTGTGATTCACTGTACACATTCCAGCATGAAACGAGCCTCACACTGACCTTTATCCCTTTCCTAACTGATGTATTAACTGACATACTTAGTACAAGCATCTACATGGGATAAACACACGTTGCTCTTGATTGAAACCAGATAATAGCAACAAATAATCTTTTCAGGGACTAGTGACTAATGCTCCCTTTTCCAAAAAAATCCTTGTCCTAAGGTCTGTAACAATCCTGAATGGAATAACACATCAAGTATCTTCTCAAAAGTGCTTCTTCAGGGTATTTCGAGAGCAAAACACAGACAGGTCAGGAAAAGGAATTCCACAGTTGACCGAATTTCAGTGACACTCAGCCCTTGTAGTGAATGAGCAGTTTGCCATTGTATCAAAGCTAGAATTTCACCATCTATTCCTACATATATCTTACCTTGGTTTTCTTCTGTTTAGCACATAATACGTGGCATAAAGCATACATGACCTTTCTGGTTACAGTTCTCAACTGCGTCCACAGAAAAAAGATGACAGTTGCTTGCAAAACAAACATATAAAACTTGCAAAAAAATCAAGAGGACTTACAGGATCAGTTAGTTCTGGCAAGCTCGCTTGGTAGGTGAGAGGTCTACAGTCACGAGTATTATTCACCAAGACACATGGAAGAAACATCGGTCCCAAATCGTCCCCATCGAGCACGTCAACTGTCAGGGTGGTTGTACTTGTCCTTCGCTCATTAAGATTTTGGGCACGGTCCTGTGAGCAAACGAGTGACATTTGGTGAGACTTTCTGAATTCAGAACCAACAAAAAAGTTTAAAGATAAAGCTAAGGGCAAAACATATAAGCACCATAATTATCCAGGTTCTAGGAAATAGCTAATTACAGAAGCTTCAGCCTCAGAGCTACAGCCTTTAATTTCATAAAGGCTCAGAAATACAATTAAGAGGTAAAAGTTCACCTCTTGAATTAAGAAATACTGAGAGACGTCTATCACTCGGAAATAATACCGTTTTGAGAAATGAATTCTCAGGAAATGTGTGAAATGAAGATACGTGTCTTGTTAAATGTAGAAAAATGCAGCATACTCGTATAAGATAAGAAGTCCCTCGTGCCTTACTTACAGTAAGTGAAATATACTCTTACACTGCCTTGTGTAGCTCTACCAAATCCTATCTACAGATAGTAGTCCTTCAGTAGAAGGACTTTCACTTACAGAAATGGAAAGCATAAGCAGAAACTTCTTTTCTAATTGGCAGTGGAGAGGCCCTGGACTGTAATGCTCAATCCACCTCTGCACGCCACAATTTAAGAAAGATTTAGCACCTCCTTCCAGCCCCCCCCAAAAACCAACTAGCCAGAGAACAGCAATGAGATTGACCCAAGATCTCCAAACTGTGCTCCATGTGGAAAGCTGATTTGTCTAGAGAATGAGTTACACTGCTCATGTTTTAAATGTTGAAGAACACTCCTGTCCACAAGAAAGCAGCTACAATGCTGCATCCCCAAAAAAGTCTCCATGCAGCATGACAGGCTCTTTTCAATGTATCATGGTTTGGCTTTTTTTTAAAAAAAAAAAAAAAAAAATCTTTGGGTACACAAGGCACCACTGAATATTGCAACTTCTTTACTGTCTCCTTTTTCTCTTTCCAGATGGTACAGAATAAAACTACTTTCCTGAATTGTGGGAACCACCTGAGTTATTTTTATACACTGAACAATGTACACACTAGCAACAGTGCACCTCTTCTTTTTTGTTTTCACAGTGAAGTAACAGCATGACTATCCAGTATTCTTTTTAAAACAGTCAAAAATATTTCCATTTTCATGGAGGAACTGTTGTGATAGCTTCTGGAGGGAATATGGGCCATTAGCTATGTCTTGTCCTAGGTTAACATTGACAGAAAACAAAAAAGCGATTTTTTTTTTTAAAGTCTTTATGCTGTTTAATATTATCATCATCGTCATCATTGTGTAAGAGGAATAGAGGTCATTGCTCTAAATCACATTGGGTATATATTTTTTTCCCCTACTTTGCAGTCCACTCAGTTCTTGGAACTGCTTTACATTTAGTTACTAAATAGGGGAATTTCTGCATTCAGCTTTCTTCATGGTCAATGAGGAAAAACAATACCAGCTACAATGAGCAGCCTTCATCATCAGCTCAACTTTTTTACATTCCCCCACTATATGCCTTTGAGTAATACTGGACCAAAGCACAGATACAGAGAAATTAATTTCACGTAATATCTTTAGGATGCAAGAACAATAAATGATCACTGCTAATGTGATGAGTGGAATAAAAGTATGATTCCATAGTACATACAATAGAGAGAATTAAATGCAACCTGCAATATTCTGTAAAATAAAAAAAATACAAAAGGGTGCATAAGGCAAACTCCTAAAAAAGCTGCGCTACAGAGCTTAATGAGAGCCTTTCTTTGAGATCTAGTTTCTCATCTGTGAGCACTCAAAACTTTTGTGAGCTCAGTTCCCATTTGGGTATGTTTGAGAAAATACACGGCCTCGCGAGACATTTCGATCATGCGGGCTGCCCCATTATGTATAAACACGATACAGAAGCTATCGGGCACCGCTCCAGTCCCAAACCCGGTGCCAGAAAGGTGACAACTGACTGCATAAGGACGTATATTGAAGGGAATGAACAAATTAACATGAGATTACTTTGTACTACTGCCACCAGGCATCCCAAGCTGTGCCTTCACCAGTTGCTCCTGCAGCGTGACAGGCTTCCCTCCTCACGCGAGTGCTCACCCAGTTGCACACCATGTCTTTCTCTTGAAAAACACGACCTGCTCAACTACCCCAGCTACTTTTTAGGAGCGCAGTGTCTCCTGAAACTCACAGCTCTGACATCAAAGGAAAAGAGCTGTGAATACGCAGTGGTGATCTGCAGAATAAATTATTGATAAAACAACAGGGCAAATCAGTTCTGAGCCTTCCCGTATTCCTGGTCAAGACATCAGCAAGTTACGCTACCCAGGTAAAACGACTTGTTCCAACAGCTGGGAAGCATCTTTAGATATATCTAAGTGCAAAAAGTGTTGAGACACCCCCGGAGCCTATCTTCTGTCGGGGGAATGCTGGACGTGCCACAAAATATGTAGGAAAGCGGACTGTAAAATATATTGTGCAATGTATCTACAATTCTGTATCAGAAAGGTGACAGTAATATAAATGCATGAATTCAGGAGCCAGCTATCTGAAGTTGCTGCAGAGCATTCTCATTTTCCCACAAATGAAGTAGTATCACAACAGAGGTAAACAACAGAGGAAAAGTTTTCATTTCAGCTATTATCAGAAGGACAAAAAGGGAAAAAAGCTTTCACAGCCAAGGGCAACAAAAAACTTCTCTGATGACAGATACATTAAATATAGTTTAAACATCACTTCTCTGTATGCATTATCCACTGCCAGCCACTCTGTAAAAAACTCTAGATACACTTGCAATATGACTTGAAAGAAAAATCACCTCTTTATAGAAAAATGCATTTCAAACCTGAAGGATACAACTAAATTGTATCCATTAAACTCATTTGAGATCAAATTAGCACCACTAGATTTGTTAGAAAATGAACACTTAGTGACACTAGAATGCACTTTTCTGCATGGGCTGTACTTCAAATTTGCAACTTCTTTTCCTTGTGCCAAAAAGGTTGCCTTGTTATACACACTGAGCAAGCTTTTTTAACCAGTAATAATATGTCTAAGCTTTCAACGACCTAGATAAATCTTAAATAAGATCTTTGGGAGAAGAGTATTATCAGACCTGGTATTTCAGCAAGAATTTTCCCTTCCTTGGAAAAATCTAAATCTGCAAACTAAAACCCCACCTCAATCAGGAGCGTAAATGGTCATCAAGAGATCTACACTTACATTTGCTTGAACAATGACAAAATAACGCGTCTTCTCTTCATAATTTAGTCTTTCCCGTAGAACTACTGCTCCGGACAAAGTGAGAGGAATATCAAAGGTCCTGTTGGAAGTCTGCAAAAGTTAAAACAGTACAATAAAATTGAACATGCTTCAAAATTAAAACACGTTTCAGATAGGCCATGACGAGATGGTCGATTGGATGGCATACCAAGATGGCACGTGCTTTCCAGATCAGAGATTTTAAAGTTTTCTATGTTTTCTCCCCACTCAGTTTACTCCATAAGAACCCCACAAGAAATAATCTATACGTAACAGAATTCTCCGATTCTTTGCATATATGTTATTACTTCCAACCACAAACTGAAGGCTAACTATCCTGCTTCTTGCATATTTGCCATGCTGCATTTGCAGTAGCGTGTTCAGAAAAAGCTTTCCCTATTTGTCAGCTGAGAGTTCAGGTCTTCAGTTCCTACAGTTCGGCTTGCCTTCATCTATTTCTTGTCACCACTGTAGAAACTACCAAGTATTAGAAATTAAGAAATCCACATCATTGTACTTATCTTCTCTTTATTCTGGCTTTCATGGGGGCAATGAAGTAGTAAACGTGCAGAGAACATCATTGCTACATGCTTCGGTGCCAGTTATGCACTTGTTCATACACTAGCAAATTCAGATTTCAGGGTAAATCAGGATGGGTAAATCGAGTGAAATTAAATTTGTCCTGCGTATTTGCTTAAGCAGATTCAGATTGCTAAGGTGTGGCACTGAATAGCAGGAGGTTACTGCTGGGGTGCACGCACCTTTAAAGGATTCACTTTGACTAATGACCCATTTTGGGAGGAGGATTACAGGCACAGACACAGGTTTCGGGTGTGAGGCTTGGTTCCAGTTCTCTTATCAAATTAATCACATTAAAAAAAAAAAAATCTTTTCATGCTCCAATCCATGTAGAATATAGTTAACATCTAAGTAGGTTGATCGTGTAATAGCAATACAATATTCCAAATCTCTCCACTGAAAACACTGCAGAGGTACAGAGTACTATTTTTTCCTTAGGTAACATACAAGGCCTTTTTTTCCTCTAAAAGCTGAAACATCTGCTTATATTGCAGTTTGTTTTTCAGCAAATAAATGATAACAATTATTAAATTCACCATGCTGCAGATATTTGTGGTGTGCAAGAAAACAGGATTGGAAAGTACATCACAGACTCTGCTAAATAACCGGAGACACTGTTTGCTTATGTCCGAGTTTGGCACTCATCTCTCTGGATAAAAAAAAATAGTTCCCACTTGGGGGTGGGGGGGTGAAATCTATTACAATATTTATACTGAGGCAAAACAGGAAACTAGAACAGACTCTGCTGGAAGAAGGAAGAACCAAGTAGGGTTGGGTTCAGTAGGGTTGGGTTCACTGCTTTCGCCCCCCGCCCCGTCCTTTCTTTTAACGGGATTTGCACAAACAAGCAAGCAGGTTGCGAACAGTGCAACTAATGGGTAGTATCTTTGACTGCTGTACAAGACGATGTGTGCATGCATACATATATGTGCCGCTTCTAATTCACAAGGAAGATTCTCCTCCTAACTGCTTTAGCCCATTTATCTCCGACTTAAAAGGCCAGAAACAGCTGGAAAAGACCCTGCAGCTGAGAACCAGCCAAGGCACTCTCAAAATAACTGCCTTTTCCTTGGCAGATCTTGGCATGAGGATGCACTTCAGTGGAACTGTACAACCTAAACTGTTAGGAAGGATCAGCACAATTTCAGCAGAAAACTTCAACCTCTTCCCAAACTGCTTATATCCGGAGGCCCCTCTTGCTCCAACACAGCACAGAAATGCGATCGTTCCCTGGTGATTTAAAGCTGAACTTCCAGACCTAAATTTGTGCCACAGCTCCTGAAGTTACCACATCAGATCAGCCCTGTGATTCCTCCTCCAAATTCCACTTATTTCTGCAGCAACCCAAACGGTAACGAAGCTCCAAGGCAATTAAAAGATGTGTACGAGACCATCACATCTCACCTGCATTTCCAGCCAATACTGGAATGAGCCAGTGCACGCTGGAAGTCAGGAACACCACGACACTGCTTTGTCACCCACTTACTCCAAGAAAACAAGGCTGGTTCTCCATTCACTTCAAAACAGAGACAACAGAATGCTTTTGTACAGCAGTCTTCATGACTTAGAACATTTGTTGGCCCATAATTTTGAATCTGGGCCAGCAAATTTAAAATGGGGAAAGTCAGCAGGATAGCCATTTGATTTACTCCCCAGAGAGATGACAGGTGAAAAATCAGTATAGCAAAAGCATTATGCCTATTCCCTAACTCCGGATTAAACTCAAAATGTTTGATTTTGAATCCTCACCAAACACAATACAATGAATCTCAGTAAAATTAGCTAGTAAGGAGGGAGTCCAGAGCTTGTTTTGAGGATGCATTTGTCCTAGCAACCTTCAGGTATAAATAGAGCCCTCAGAGATCTAAAAACCCACTCTGCATTAGGAGACAGAATCTTTTTGGCAAGTTAATTGACCTGATCCTTACCTTTTAACAGCTAAGAAAAGTTTTATAGCATTGCTTTACATGATGCCTAGAGCCCTGCCCTATATCAAGTATGATTTGTACTCGTTTTTCTACTTGGCTTTTCTGTATCTTGCCAATTAAACAACAAAATAATTAATTAAACTGAATTTCTAGAATAACACCTCTTGTTTCTACAGTTTTTTTTTCAAATGCCTAAATTACTCTCCAGTGAAACTTATGAGCTATAATCAGTCGGCTTTTTCTAAGGCAGGAGACTATGTCATTGGTGCCGAACTACACTGCGGGCATCTTCATCACACAAGAGGCAGATCCTAGAAGTAGAAAAGCAGAGATAGTTCACACTAAGCTGTACACATAATTTTTGAGCATGGTATAATCACTTCCCAGGTTAAGGAAGAAAATCCACTTGTAGCAGATACTATGCAGTAACTCCTTGGCAAGTTGACAGCTGAGAGGAAACAGCTTACAACGATGCGAGGTCATCTCTGTCAAGCACACGCACAAAACGCACCACTGTGTAAAGCACTATTATACGCATAAAGGTTATCTACAGATGAAAGAATCCGATTTATTTAATCTGGACTTTAAAAGCACTAAGGCAAAGATACAATAAAGCAACTAATTACTCCAAAGAAGTTGTTCCAGCTGGGGAAACCCCTCAACAAGAACAAGTACGTTTCACTGAGTAAGAGAGGAAAAGTTTTAGGGAATGTTTTTTAACTCTTCCTGTAGCAAAACACCAGACCAAACCACTTCGGGATGCTATAATGTCCTTCACTAGTGGTTAGACAAACCTCTCTGCTGAACTTGAGGCACAACTGTGCTTGTGGGAGATGCTTTTAGAAAGATTTCCCAGGATGCCTTTGAGCAATATAATACTATGACTTAATAGTAAATTAAATACAAAGCAGCTCTTCTATTTCAGTGTGGCACAACACAACTTTAGCAGCCATAATATTTTAAGGGATTTGTATTTTGTTATTGTTTTCAGTATACCAACATATTCAGTGCATGCTTAAGTGTTTAATTTTTTGAAGCACTTTCCATTTTCTTAAGTTATCTGGAAGAAGTATTTTCTGGAAGAGGTATTTTCTCAGTGCCAACATTTTTCATAGTCTTTATTGAAACAGAAGAAATTATTTTAGCTGGTTTTGTTAAGTGCTATAAATGAAGGGTAAAAAAAAAAAAAAGAGTGGAGAGAAACATTCAAAAGGCTGGGGGGCATTTTTTGTGAATTTGAAACTGTTTGTCCATTCCTGTCACTCCTTCCTACCTCCTTTTTACTTTTCAGATATTTTTGGCAGCAGAATAGCATTTATAACACTACCGTTATGCGAACAGTTAAAAGATGATGTTAGCATAACATTTTAGTACCCTCTATTTCCATAGAAAACCCTTGCCTTTGTTTATAAAGTTTAGGAGAGAAGCTCTTCAGTCATACATACCACTGGTAGAAAGAACAGCCGAGACTGTAAGGTGATGAACCCACATGTCATGCACTAGTAATTTTACTCATTTAATAGTCTCACTTAAGTAAGTGTTATAACTCAAGAGACTGCTCAACTCTGCACAATCAATTTAACCTCTAAGAAACAACTACAAACATATAAAAAATGAAATCATTCCATATATACATAACAGAAAGTCAGAAAATTCCCTACCTCCCAAAAACCTAACATCACAATTCCAATTTTGTCAAAAAGACCTTGCCTCTTTGCAAAACAATGCTCCCCAGAAAAGGTTGTGGCTTAAGGTGCTGCAAAGTTGCTCAAGAAACTACCTCTGTCCTAAAAATACATAGATACAGTAAAGTAAATATTATGCCCCAGCATGTAGCTATGCAAAAAATGAACGATTACCCCAGTGAAAAGTAAAAAAGTAGGCTCTTATATCATTAGTTCACACTGAACTATTCCTTGATACTGCCACTATTCTACAAAATTCTACCTCCTAAAAAGTATAAACACAAAGCGTAATTCAGTAGATACCTGAACTCTTGTTGACTTCAACGGAAATAGGACTGAAGCCTTTATGACGCGTACAGCTTAAATGGCGCAAATTCAATCAGAACTTGTGTGCCTACACTTTTAATTAAACCGAAAATCAGATTGCCGTTTTCCCACAAAACCATTTCTGCTCAAATTCCCCTTAAGTAAGGAATTTCAATGAGAGGTTACTAAGTCTATATACTATATATTTCCCCCCCCACTTTAACATCTACGTCATCTTTTGGATGAATATATAA